TTTTGTCTTCATTATTATTATTATTATTGTAATTTACAAAGTTTTAGTGCTTAACATTTTGTAGGAATAGTTTTTCCTGCACTGTTTCCCACTTTTTTCATATTGTTGAACTGTCTTTTCTGCCATGTACATTGATAACTTATCCATTATCATAAATTCATGTAGTTTATTTTGCCATTCGCTTTCCTTAGGTGTTGTTTCTGATTTCCAATATTTTGCTAAGACAAGTCATGCAGCTGTCACCATATAAAGTATTACACTTTTCCCATCATTATTTAGTTTATAATCTATTTTGCTTTTCTCAACATTATAGTAAAGGAAACATTATACTAAAGGAAAACTGGGTCATAGTTTTTTATGTTGTAAGGGGGAAAAGCAAATTTCCTAAAACAAATAATAATCCCACAGTCAGAACTGTAGAAAAGAATACATTTTAGATGAGCTTGCGTCAGATCAGTAGACATGATATAAGTATGATATAATCTTGTGAATAATACAAAATTTGATTCTGTAGATTCTTTGGAAATGTGTGATTAATGCATGTGATGTAGAGTGCTTCCAGACAATTACAAATCAAAAAGGCATTGTGCATGTCTCTTCTGTTTCTGACAATTTTTTTGATAAGGGGGATGAAAGGAAGAAATGAGGCAAGAACAGGAGGATTTAAAGTAGAAGACATCACTGTTGGCACTTTTCATACAACTGAATGAATGAGACAGGATAGCTGCATGATAAAATGCTCATCTAGAAGAGTCCCAAAACATCTTAAGGTAAGTGTGAGGAGTCTTTGGTTCTTCAGATATTTTGGACTACAGTTCGCATAATCCCTTACATTACAAGTCAGCTGGGGTTTTGAGATCCAAAATTCAAGGTTGTCCAACTCTTCTTAAAAACAAAACTTCAAAAAGTTTATTTTTTATGACTTCTTTCAGAATCCTGCAGCCAATAATGATATTGTAATTCAGAAACTAATTTCTCCAAGATCTGCTTAAAATATTTAAGCAATGATTTAAATTAGGGCTTTTAGTGTGAATGAGCCATCTCTTACCTTGGGACCAGGTAGTCCAATCCCAATGGAGCCTTTTGGTCCTGGTAAACCTTGAATTCCTTGTTCTCCCTGAAAATAGCATGAAGACTTCACAATAAGCTTTGCAAAAGATAGCATATGCTGGAACATAGGGCATCCACAGGCTTCTCGATTATTTAGGTCATTTTCTATTTGCATGCAGAGCTATGTCTACTAGGCTTGGATTTTGGTATACCCATAGGCCTTCTTAGCAAACATACAGACAGCTAGCATGCACAATAGTGACATGTTTTGCAAGACATCTAATCCCTTTTAATACCTCAGTGTTACTTTCACTTACATATAGAATACCTAAATGACAAGCTGCCAAATAAATAAATAAATCCTGGTGTCTCAGTTTGTGAGTTTTAGCAGTGAAAATATTTCCCTAAGAGCAGTGTTCCCAAACATTGCTCAGTAAACTGACATGCATATGTTCTAGTCACAAGACAATATTAAACAATGAAAAATAGTGCAGTGGGGCCTTGATATCTGCTGAGATTTGGTTCCAGGATTCCCTGTGAATACCAAAATCCATGGATATTCAAGTCCCATTAAATTCAGTGGCATAGTAAAATGGTGTCCCTTATAAAAATGGCAAAATTAAGCTTTGCTTTTTGGAATTATTTAAAATATATATTTCAAGTCGTGGATGGTTGAACCTGTGGATATGGAGGGCTGACTGTATTCTATTTTATGGCACCAAAGCCTCCAAAACTACTGAGTCCCAGAGCTTTATAAGCTCAAAGAGTTCTATGGTTTGGTATGTTTCTGACCCAATGAGGATTGAGGACATTTTAATTGGCGGCAAACAGAAAGTACTGTACACTTGCTTTCTAAAATATGGATCTTTCCCCTACATCACATCGGTCTTAGGCTTGCTTAAAAAGGCAACATTTTCATGGCTTCTGTTTTGGTCTCCTAATTATTCATAAATACCAGAGTCCAGAAAGACAAATACTGTGCATCAAAGGGTGCATTTTGTTCCATATTAAGAAACTGAAATTGAAATGGTGACATCCAGAGCTGCCCACATGTAGAGAGAAAACTCTTCACTTTCTCCCATTGAAGAAATGAGAATGGCTGGGATGTGCACAAGTGTACAATGGTTCTAACTCCCAAGCCAGCATGACATGAAACTTTCAAGAGAGCTTCTATAATGCAATGCACTAGGAGGATACAGCAATTATTGCTCTATTTTGTTTCATATTCTGCACTATTTTATTTTACTACAACCAAATAAAATAGGTTTGCAAGCTGTCAACTCAGTTTTGTCAGCTGATTTTTTAAAAGGCTTTCTGCTGCTGAAGCAATAAAACAAATTGGTCAAGGAAACATTGCATAATGAAAAGGAGAGGAGGCATTTTGAAAAGTTGCCCTCAGTATTCAGTTTCTTACCTTACTTCCTTGTATACCTTCTCCTGGAGGACCCTGTGGACCTGGCATACCTTTTTGTCCTATAACACCCTGTATAGAAAATGTCAGAAATCAGCAAGAAAGAATGAGAGTGAAGAGAGAGAAAGAGACAGAACAGTTTAAGGTCATATCATGCCAAAACCTAGAAGCAGATGAAAGGCCCTCTCTTCCATTCCAGCTGCCTCTGCCCTGGCCTTGGAGGGAGAAAAATAGCATCTGCTGGACTTAATCCTCTCCTCCCACATTGCCATCCCCCTTTCCTTTTGTGTCATGTGTCAATTAGACTGTAAATCTGATGACAGGAAACTAAGGTTTGTTTGTTGGGTCTTTTACTTGTAAAGTACCAGGTACAGTGATGGCACTATATAAATAAATGATAATAATTATTATATGCAGAAAGAAGTGAGGTCTGGAGAAAGTGTTATGCTGTGACAGGTAGGGGCTTCTATACTAGAAGGACAGCGAATCTTGTCTGGGTTTTAATCCAAAAATTCAAAGAGCTAGACAAGATGCTGAACTTACCCAGGAGATAAGGTTTGGAATCTTGGACAGCTCTGTTAAAGTTTGGACCAAATCTCAGAGCAGATTCATAACTCCAACTGACATGGAAGCCACCAGTCACTATTGGCTTTTTGTCTTTCTCTACCACTTTCAAATGCTGGAAGGAATGGAAGATATTGCAAACATACTGGGGTGGGAGGATGGATTTACAAAGCAGGCATATACATTGGGGTTAGCAGAAAATAAGCAGTGATTTAATGATGGATCTCTGA